TTAAAAAAAAAAAAAAAAAAAAAAAAAAAAAGGGTTGGACCCCACTCGAAAAACCTTGGAAAAGTGCGTTATTTTGGAAATCGTGGAAAGGATACTTTTCCATCGATGAAACGCGGGGACCCCACCAGAGAGGCTGGAAAAGGCCTGGAAAAGCGATTTCTTCCAGACTTTTCCAAGCTTGTGCCGTCGTTGTGGACCAGCGAACTCCGTTGGGGTGGTATGGGCGCCCACGACGTCGGACTCCGGAGGTGTGGGTGGCGGCGTGTGGCCGCTGGAACGTAAGGTGCCACCTACCGGCCACTCCATGGACCCGGGTCGTGCAAGGAAGTTTTCCAGACTTTTCCCGCCCGCCCCCCCTACCCAGTCCGTTTGCCACAAAATAGTGCCATCAACTACGAAAAATGACACATTTCGGACCGAAACCACATGTGGAAACGTCAAAGTGCCATCTTCCAAGAACACTTTTCCAGACTGTGGGGTCGTGTGACGAACCACTTTCTATAGCACGCGACTTTCTGCGCGATTGCAATGAGGGGTCCTAAGCTGGGAAGGTTGGGCCAATTACGGGAGATCAGGATCGGTGGGAAATTGCATCAGTACCCTCGCTTCTTCGTCTTTTTCGTCATCTCCTTTTTCGATGGTGGGGTTCGGAACTGGGCGTGTCCTGGGACGGTTGATTGACTGGTCGGTTGAATGGCTGGCGCGCTGTCATGCGCGCAATTAAAAACAATTACTTTTGACGTCGTTTCTTTTGTTCGGTTTTGGAATTTGGGCGCGAACATTGCGCGGGAATTTGCTTCGTTCCTTTTGAATTTCTTTTTCAATCATTTTTCGAATTTTGTTGAGCCCCGATGGCTCTCGGAATTTCGGACTTTCTTTCCGGAACTTGTGCTTTTTGCTTTTTCGCATTAGATAGGAGTTTAGGAATTTTGTAATTAGGACTTTCTTTTGCCGTGCGGCGCCTTTTGCTTACGCGCTTCTTTATGCGGCTGCAACGAAATTCTGATTAGTCGGCGCCTTTAATCGGGTATGTAACTGTAATTTTGGGCTGGCGCCATTGTAACTCTATCTTTCTTCTTGTGCTTCGTCTTTCCCGCCCTTCTTCTCTTTCTTTTATTGCGTTTTTGGTAGCCACGGTCTGCATGATCGGATCGATGCGTGGAGAGTGGCTACGTCCCCCACGCCCCGGCCCGGTGATGCAGAATCCAGGCGCTCCCTCTCTAATCTTCTTTCTAAATCCTTGTAATTATGTGTTCTTCACGCATGCATGCACGCTATAAATTCCGGCTGCGCAATTGGTTAGCTCTCTTAACCAGCTGTTGGAAGCTCGGGGTTGCGCGATCAGAGAGGGTCAGCACACGAGCGAAGTAAGAGGTGAGTAGAGCAGGAGTCGGGCGACCCGACGAGCTGGTGCCAAACGCGCGGGGTTGACGCAGGCCACAACGAACTGTGGGCGTGGGTGAACCTGACGGGTGCGGGAGGACTAAGCGGGGTGACGACTTCGTGGGTTGGTGCGCGATGACGGACTTTCCACATCGGAGAAGGAGAGAGAGGAAGAGGGAGTTGAGGTTGATGCTCATTTTCTGAAACTCGTGTATATAAATTTTGATTTCGGCTCCGGCTGATTTGCCCGTTTTCTGTTTTTCGGAATCAGGACTTGGGTTTTTGCTCACACTTGTTTTTGCGATTTTCATCTCAGATGCGTTGTGTGTCGCTGAATGAATGAATGTATGGATGATGTCATGTTTGGTTATTTGATTTCCTATCGGATCCTTACCTTTGCCTTTGTTTACTGCATTTGATGCACTCGTGAGTAGGATAGGAATTTTGCGCAATCGGTAATCCTGTTCTCGTTTTTACTCGTCTTTTGATTAAGCTGTTGTGGGTGTTGCATCTTGCATGCTCGAAAATTATGGAGTGATTAGACAATCGGATGTCTGGCCCAGCGGACTCCGCGCGAGGACGTGTGTAAGCACGACTTGATTTGCGCCTTTACAGGTGCCCCCGTGTGTCGATCCGTCAGTTCCAAAAAGAACCATCGGTTGCACAAATAATGACTGATTGGATACAGCCATCCGGGGTCTGCGACAGGGCAATCATCCCAGGCGAACACACGTAAGCGCGACTCGATTCGCACAAGCCTGCACGTGCTCACACAGGGTGATCGCAATCGGCACAGACCCGCCCTTAGGCATCTCGTAGCTCTGCGATGACATAATGACACGCTCAGAGAGCTCGGAGTCGTTGTTGTACGACCCAGTCTACTTCACCCCTTGGATAGACGAAATCCTCCGACAAAGATACCCTTGCCTAACCGAGAACCGACTGTGTCCTAAGGAGTTTCACTGCGCCACCACTAGCGACCCCCGATGCTCTGATTTCCCCACTCAGGACCACACCCACTACTTCACTCACCCCGACTTTGTCGTTATCTCCACCAACTTCTCTCCCTTCCACCTTCTTCTCCCGTATCACCAACTCAGCGTCGTCCCGTGGAAGGCCATAGCCCCCTACTTGCCCAGTATACCCTGCGGAAATTGTCGACGACGCGGCAATCAGAGGACCCCGGAATTTCGGACGCGCGACGACCGTCCACACGTGGCAACTTTCGACGGCCTGACTCATCGGAACCCCTCCCACCCCGAAGGGACCTTCCCGCAAACCGCCGTCCTCGGAACCAATGGCTCGCTTGACCTTGAGTGACCCGCGCATGCCATCTGCCTTATGACCAGAGGCGGTCCGCCCTCTCCGCGAAATTGCACTCGTGCCCCCGAAAAACTCTGCCACAGGAGATCTCAGTTTTGACCCGGGACTTCACCCCCACTTTCACAAAAATCGTTGGCTCACCCCTTTTCGCACTTCCAGGCCCACATCCTACTCCGATCAGGAAGTCGCATAGGGCGTGAGGTTGGTATCGGAGCCCGACACGTGGTCGGGTTTTAGGATTAATAGCACGCTAATTGGGCGATCTGGCTAACCGAGGGCGACCTCGACCCCGGAATGCACATAGATGCGACCCCGTCATCACCCGAAGTAGATCAGCTAATCGACGGGCAACCAACATGAACGCTAATGCACATAATCCGAATCCGTTGCAGAATGTTAATCAACTAAATCCTAATCAACCCGCCCCACGAGCACGGGCTCCCATGACGCCACCTGATCTTTATCTGTTCGACCCTGCACATTATCTTGCAAGAGCATGGTTGGCCACGCTCCGAGCACAATAGTATGACGATAACGAAGCTCAGGTAAACATTCATGCTCGATTAGGAGGAGACGCTCATCACTGGTTTAGTACCTATGTATGGGTAGATCTTCCGACTGACGAACGGGATTTTCTGAATCGATTTGATTATGTTCATCCAGAGCAAGCACTGTACATGATCAAGGACCGGGTGCAAAAACCTCTCGAATCTATCGCAGAATATCGAAACCGGTTCTATCGAATGTTTGTAAAAACTAAGCGAGGCGAGCAAGTCGGGAGAGATTTGTTTATTGATGGGCTTCATAGCCGAACGATAAGGGCGAAGCTGCGGAAGCAGTTTTCCCCCATCAATCATACTGGCACGCTGCAACAGATCATAGCCGCTGCAGAGGAGATGGAACGAAAGTTCGCGGCAAATTTCCTGGAAGGAGAAGACTATCCCAAGGAAGGAGATTCCTCTGAGCTCGCAAGGGCAAGAGCTGAGTTGGCCGCATTGCAGAACAAGTTCGATAATATGGGATTTGTGTCTGGCGCGGTCACCTATTTGGAACAGATAGCCCCTAAACGACCCGCCCCGAGTGTAATCACGAGTGTCCTCGTTCCTGTGATACCAGCACCTGTAATGACGGCACCCCCACCACCGATTGAGAACCCGGTAAGGACAAATGAGTCTACTGCTATTTTTGAGCTATTCAAAACGTTAATTAGCCTAATCCAGGAAAGCAAAAAAGAACAGCGAGAGCATAATGCTTCGGTTAGAAGCCATGATGAGAAACATGCGGCCCATCGCGGTGCGTTCCCCTCCAATGCAACAAGGGTTAGCCCCGGCGCCAGCTCTCGGAGGAGCCGCAACCAATCTAAACGTTTGCTATGCATGCCATCAACTAGGGCATCTAGCCCGTGATTGCCCCCACCGGCCCCCACAAAAACGGGTCGGAGTTGCACCGATGGCAGCGGCTCCCATCGCTAACGACCCTGGACGAGTAGGGGCCCTGATGGAATAAATGGAAAGGGTGAGAAGTGCGTTAGCAACCACGGAAGAGGCTGTTGAGCTCATCCCGTTAGATCTGTACGTATCGCTTGGTAATCCTAGGCTTGGAATGATTAGAACGATTAGGCCGGCGCCGGAACAGAAAGAAGTGGCGGAGTGGCGACCTTCTCCAGGAGAAATGGAGTCGGGAGGACCCACCTTCGTCACTGGGGAAATCGATGTGCTCAACATTATCCGAGCCTTCGATCATCGGATTCCACTTCCGATCGGCCATCTGCTCTCGATCTCTGAACAAGCTAATGAGCGAATGCTACAGCACTGTAAGGCGAATCATAAACAATTCGCCCTCGCCCGAACAACAAACATGAAGGCTAAAAGCCCCACGCTAGAAGAAAATACGGCTGGCACGCCGGATCCAATACGAGTAGGACAAATACAGAAAGACGGTCATTTTCTACGGATTAAACCCATCCCCTGGAAATCTGCGGAATGCGACATCGAAATATGGGGAATTCCATACAATGCAATCATTGATTCGGGAGCTGCTATTTTGGTTATTTCGCTGCGAGTAGTTGAGAGGGCGAGAAGAAAAAACGATTTGATCATGCTTACAGAAAAGGATCAACTCGTTTCGGCAGACGAAGAAAAGATTAAAACGGTGGGAAGAATGACCAATGTCGCTTTCCGATTGGGAAAGGTGCATGCACTGGGAGATGTCGTGATATTAGACATAAACACATACGATGTTCTTTTCAGTCTTCCCGCTCTTGTGGCATTACGAGCAAATTTGGATTTTGAGCGACGGTCAATCATCCTCCGAAATACGGAAGGAAAACCCTATGTTGTACCTATGAGACTGACTGTTCGTACTACCATCAACGCAGTCCCGCGAGTTTCGCCGATGATAGTGGGAACTCTTCGTATGATCACCTGGGAAGACTCCGCAGACGATGAGCCATCATCGAGGGATGCGGATAGCAGTGACAAAAATGATCCAGAAATTCTGAAGCTAGCACGACATCGTATTTATTACCCTCCGCCCAGAACGATCGCCAGAACGATGCATCTAACAAGTCGGAACATCCAAAGGACCAAAGCAATGATTTTGGGTGAACCCCTCGTACAGATTTCGAGGATGGTCGATTCTTTGAAACCCCCTCAAACCTTGTACGAAGGAATTTCCCCTCTCCTCGCCCGATACAACGACAAGAAGCACTACTGCGATATCACAGATCTACCGAAGTCCCTCTTGACACCCGCAAAGGAAGTACGACTGTTATGTCTAGGGGCGGAGGCCAGTTCATTGGAACCCCCTGGGCGTCTCGAGGTTGAATCAGATCAGCTAGGAGTAAAGATTGCAACTAAAACCGTACCATGGTAGAATATCTGCGATGGGATCACCCCGGAAGGACACATGGTCATCCGGGAGGAAGATGCCCAGATGATGGCCACGGTGTTCTCCTGGCCATCAGACCATTCGTTTATCTCGGCGCCACTGCCTGATGTGGCGAAACAAGCATGCACGAAGCAGATCGACGTACGAATCAAGGACCAACTTTTTGAGTTACACGTGCCACAGTACGTACCTGATGAGATTCATCGTTTGATTGCGGACATTCTGACGGAGTATCAGGGAGCGATTAGTGTTACAGACACTGACATCGGCTTGTCGTTGGTCATCCAACACGAAATTCAGACGGGAACTTATTCCCCCATCCACTGCAAGCCCTACCGATACTCCCTGATAGAACGAAAAAAGGTTCTCGAACGAATTCGGGAACTCGAAGCAAGCAGGTGGATCGAACTCGCCATAGGACCATGGTCGTTTTCAGTAGTATTAGTGCCAAAGAAAAATGAATCAATCCCCATATGCATCGATTATCGCAAAATAAATGAAATCACAATTAAAGATGTGTATCCCCTCCCCCGGATTGATGATTTGCTGGATGCGATTGGATGCGCTAATTATTTTAGTAAGTTTGATATTCGGCATTACTTCCATCACATTCCGGTTAAGGAGGAAGATAGGCCGAAGATAGCCTTCGTGTTGTTTGAGGGCACGTGGCAGTGGGTTCGGTGTCCGATGGGGATCTGCATGCGCCTACCACATGTCAGCGAGCGATGAACATGATGTTCCAGAACTTCGTCAACAAGACACGGCTAAGCAGGGAATGATCAACTTCTGCGTGATCGTATACATGGACGATATCCTTGTCTACTCAGAGACCTATCACGGACATGCCCAACACGTTGAATGGACGTTGGGAGCGCTGAGGAAATTCAACGTGTTGGGCATGTCCGTTGAATGGACGTTGGCACCTATCACGAACATGCCCAACACGTTGAATGAACGATATCACGTGTTGGGCATGTCTGTGCTAAAATAGAGGAAATAGTTCGTCATCGAATTGCAGAAATTGATCATTCCCTGAGTTAGCCGTGTTGGGCATTCCCGCGTGGCAAGAAGCAGACCGGTGGCAATGGGTGACAAAGTGGCAGTTCTCCCACGTGGCAAGAAGCAGACCGGTGGCAATGGGTAACGAAGGTAACCTAACTACCCCTCTTTCGGGAATCTCCTCTTCATCTCTTTTCTCCCTGCCTGATAAATTTTGCTATTTTTTCGAAGCAATTTCTCACGTATATTTAGTCCCCATGCGTCCTAACGGGGAAGGCTATGTGGAATGGGTAGATTGTCGACATTGTGTTGCACGAGCCCATGGCTCATGCATCCAATATTGAAATGATAGTAAACCGTGGCTATGCCCCTTGTGTCGGGTTGACAAGATCCCGACCGAGGCTCGCTTTTTGGATGCCACGTCAGGAGGATTGGAGAAGACCCGGAAGTTTAGCAGGGCCGAAGTATGAACCGACATCGCTTGATTGCCACCTTAGTGGGTAACCCCCTCCAGGATTTCACCAAGGAAGATCGGAGGAGGGCTAATGAAAGGGCTCGGGATTACCAATGGATAGAGGGTAGGTTAGAAAAACGGAAAACAGACGGCAGTGGGATTTGGATGATCGTACCGCATCTGTTCATGAGGTACGACTGGGTGAAGACAGCACACGAAGAAACGGCTGCCCATTTTGCCGTACGGATTACGGAGTCGTTCATCGACAAAAACGAATGGTATTGGCCCAATATTCAGGATGATGTGAAATTCATCGTCGCAAACTGTCAAGTCTGCGTTGCTGACAAGGCGCCGATCTAGCCGCCAAGATCGATAGGACCAACGGTAGTTGAGCGGCCGTTCAAAAGGGTGAGTATGGATACTACCGATATCGTGGTACCCCCTGGTCCTAATAGTTGTGAATATTCAGTCCTGTTGGTATTTGTCGACCACTTTTCGAAATGGATCGAGGCCTACCCATGTCGCACGCGACAAGCCGCCGAAATCGCGCGGTATGTTAACCGTTTTCTCGGGATGCACCAGGATACGGAACAAATCCTGACCGATAACGGGACAGAAAAAGAGGGGAAGTATTAAGAAACTTGGTCATACACGGTGTCGCTGTGCGGAATACCGCGCCCCATATGTCACAATCCAATGGACGAGTAGAAAACACAAATAGGGTGATAAAGACAGCGCTGCGACGAAACATCGCGGCTAGGGATCCGAGGCCCTGGCTCGATATCGTCGACCACATCCTAGCGGTCCATCGTGGAACGCCCCATGAATCGATGGGCGTGAGCCCCTTCCAATTAAGGACCAATAGCGTCGCTTGCGTTCCGATACCAAGCCTCCCTGACGAATCAACGCTCAACCGCCGGCCCACAAGGGCCACGACATGGGACAAGGCCAAGCGACACTTAGAGTTAATGGAATGGTCCCTCCCAAGGCTTAGCCCGAAAACGCTAGAAAATGACCGAGTTGGCCCACGGCCGACAGGTCCGAAGCTACGAGGCCGGAAACGGGAACGCAGGTCCACGGCCCCAGTACAAATCGGGGACATCGTGCAGGTGAGGAAATGAGCTCGCCAGGGTAAACTAGCGCCACGATTCTTCGGGTGATTCCGCGTGATTGAACTCGGACCAAACGGTGTGAACACCGTTCCGCTTGCGCCTGAGGTCTCCGGCAGCCGATCGGCTCGTCCGATCATCCGCCACGTGTCCTACCTTCGCCCCCTTCCTTCTTCCCCATCTTCGCCTTCGTTTAATTCCTCCTCCACTGCGGAAGAGGACGACGACTGCTTATCGTCGGTCTCTTCGTCTCCTTCTCGTTCTCTTTCTGTTACTCTGTCCCCGTCGCCATCGCCATGAGTTTTCTTACAGAGCGAGCTCTCGGCGATCCTCTGCTGGTGCCACGGTGTTACATCTCGGCGATTCAACAAGTTCATCACCCGCGGCTCAACCCGGACCTTCGGCGACTTGCGCAGTTCTTCTGTACCCAGGGAGTGTATGCAGCCGCCGAGTTTCGCTTTGCACGCAGTCCCCGGGCGGTTGTTTTAGCAGAGGCGGTAGCAGTTCATCGGCGATTGGCTCCTGGAATCAGCCACGTGTCTACGGTGGTCGCCTTCAGTGGCGACATCAGCATCATCAGCCCGCCGCGGCATACGGTTATCAAGACAACGCTTCAGCTGTGGGCGCAACGGTTGGCGTCAGAGTGGAATCGCTGGCTCACGCCCCACGGTGATAATCATTTCCCTACGGACGGCATCGACCTCGAAGGGATCCGAGCTTTCCAGCACGAGCCGGCGGTGGTGCTCCCTGAACTCATTCCCTTCCCCGGTCTTCAATGAACCCATCCCCAATCTCCACTTTCGACCTCCCCTCCTTCTTTCCCACCTTCTGGCAGTTCCGAGTCCATCCACACCTGTCCTTTTGTCTAGAATCACTCGCTGTCCCCCTCCTCGATCCCCAACAGTGGAGGAGTTAGGGAGAACACTTCGCCGAGCTGTCGGTGGTCTGGTCGAAGTAAAGGTCACGTGGACACGGCACCGAGATCACCGTCAGTGGGCCGAGTACCTTGAGCTGCTCATCATCCAGGCGTGGCAAACAGGAGTGGAGGGCGATCTGCTCGGATTCCTCTTCGGATTGGTGCGGCCCGATCATCGTCAACTGATCGTGCACGAGTTAACGGTCCCCCTTGCGCAGCTGGCCGACGATCTCCCACTTGAGATCGTCTCGCAGATCGACGACAGCCCAGTCCCGCACGTTCTCACACGGACCATTTCGCCATATCTTCAGTGGTTGGCGTGCTTGGAGGAACCGGAAAGCGGCCGCAACCCACTGTCACGGCGCGATTATCTGGAGCCGCACGAGATAGTCGACCTCGTCTTCTTTCGAAATCAGACGGCTTCCGAGAACGAGGAGGTAGAGATTGAAGCGGAAGAAGAAAGCTCGAAAGAAGAAGAAGTTGAAAAAGAGACCGACGAGGAAGAAACTCCCGAAGAGGGGAGTTACAGTGAGCACAGCGGAGGGGAGCAAAGTGAGGACGAGGAGGAAGAAGAACAAAGCGACGACGAAGAAGAAGAAGATCAAGAGGAACTGGAAGAGTCGGAGTGGGAAGCATTCGAGGAGGAAGTGCCTGACGAGGCTCAAGCAAGGGCCCGGGCGCAGAAGAGGAAATAGATTGCGGTCGGGAAGCGACAGTTGGAATTCGCCAGCACAGCCAGTCAGCCGCGCACCGACGATCCGACCCGAGATCCGGAGCCACCTAAGCCCGAGGATGGAGAGACAGCTGCCGAGATTTCGGCTGCACCGGCAAGGCGGCGACGAAGCCGATCCCCCTCCCCCTCCGCCACAGACCGCCCACCAACTCGTCCACGTACCGATGCGGGGCATCGGGCTTCGCCCCCAGTCGTTATCCCATCGTCCCCTTGACCACCTCTCTTTCCACCAGATTACCACTCACGTCACCTTCCCCGACAATCCCTTCCCCATCGATACCTTCCGCTTTTTCTACACTACCCGCCTCGCTGTCACTGTTCATCCCCACCCTTCCACCCGATGCGCCCTCCCTGTCTTTTGCCTCCATATCCTTTTCCTTAGTGCCTCGTGGCGAGGCCACAATATGATCGAGGTATACTGCATGATTACGGGGACTATCCCCGCATGCGAGAACCACGATCACTTCCGCGCGGCCCTTTTCCAAACCTTTACCACCCTCTACCCTGATTACCTCAGGTCTCTCCCTCACACTGGCAACCGATTCCCCCGCTTTCACCGGATCGTTCGCTATCAGGATCCCGGAGACGGTAGCCGGAATGGAGAGCTTCCTTCCCCTGCTACCTATCGACCCTCCCCCTCGCCATCCCTCCATGTACCGTCTTCCTTTTCCCCTCCCTGGCGCTCACTGATGTAGGACTGATGGGCAGGCGTCATGACAACGACACGTGTAGTCCCCTCCTTGGACTGTCAATGGCCCTCCCTGAGGAATTAGTAGTAGAGCTATGTTGCCATATTGGACGACGTCCACACTCATTCGAACGGTAAGTGGCATAGAGAGAAGAGCTCCACATGTCGGTCGATTAGAGAAATCGACACGTGTCAACAAGCAAGCAGGAGCTTGCTAATATTGGAACCCCCTAGGCATCACATATGTGACGAACCACTTTCTGTAGCGCGCGACTTTCTGTGCTATTGCAATGAGGGGTCCTAAGTTGGGAAGGTTGGGCCAATTACCGGAGATCGGGATCGGTGGGAAATTGCATCAGTACCCTCGCTTCTTCGTCTTTTTCGTCGTCTCCTTTTTCGATGGTGGGATTCGGAACTGGGCGTCTCCCGGAACGGGTGATTGATTGGTCGGTTGAATGGCTGGCGCATTGTCATGCGCGCAATTAATAACTATTGACGTCGTATTTTTTGTTCAGTTTTGAAATTTGGGCGTGGACATAGCGCGGGAATTTGCTTCGTCCCTTTTGAATTTCTTTTTGAATCCTTTTTCGAATTTTGTCGAGCCCCGATGGCTCTCGGAATTTCGAACTTTCTTTTCAAAACTTGTGCTTTTTGCTTTTTCGCATTAGATAAGAGTTTAGGAATTTTGTAATTAGGACTTTCTTTTGCCGCGCGGCGCCTTTTGCTTACTCGCTTCTTTATGCGGCTGCTACGAAATTCTGACTAGTCGGCGCCTTTAATCAGGTGTGTAACTGTAATTTTGGGTTGGCGCCATTGTAACTGTATCTTTCTTCTTGTGCTTCGTCTTTCCCGCCCTTCTTCTCTTTCCTTTGCTGCGTTTTTGGTAGCCACGGTCTGCATGATCGGATCGATGCGTGGAGAGTGCTACGCCCCCCACGCTGCGGCCCGGTCATGCAAAACGCAGGCGCTCCCTCTCTAATCTTCTTTCTAAATCCTTGTAATTCCGTGTTCTTCGCGCATGCATGCACGCTATAAATTCCGGCTGCGCGATTAGTTAGCTCTCTTAACCAGCTGTTGGAAGCTCGGGGTTGCGCGACCAGAGAGGGTCGGCACACGAGCGAAGTAAGAGGTGAGTGGAGCAGGAGTCGCACGACCCAACGAGCTGGTGCCAAACGCTCGGGGTTGACGCGGGCCACGACGGGCGAGGGCGAACCTGATGGCTGTGGGAGGACTAAGCGAGGTGACAACTTCATGGGTTGGTGCGCGACGATGGACTGTCCGCATCGGAGAAGGAGAGAGAGGAAGAGGGAGTTGAGGTTGATGGACGCGGATTTGCTGTTTCTTTTATCTTTTCTCCATCCTGTCTCGTGTATATAAATTTTGATTTCGGCTCCGGGTGATTTGCCCATTTTCTTTTTTTCGGAATCTGGACTTGGGTTTTTGCTCACACTTGTCTTTGCAATTTCCATCTCAGATGCATTGTGTGTTGCTGAATGAATGAATGTATGGATGTCATGTTTGGTTATTTGATTTCCTATCGGATCCTTGCCTTTGCCTTTGTTTACTGCATTTGATGCACTCGTGAGTAGGATAGGAATTTTGCGCAATCGGTAATCCTGTTCTCGTTTTTACTCGTCTTTTAATTAAGCTGCTATGGGTGTTGCATCTTGCATGCTCGAAAATTATAGAGTGATTAGATAGTCGGATGTCGAGCCCAGCGAACGCCGCGCGAGGATGCGTGTAAACGCGACTTGATCTGTGCCTTTACACGTGCCCCCGTGTGTCGATCCGTCAGTTCCAAAAAGAACCATCGGTTGCAGAAATACTGTTTGATTGGATACCGCCATCCGGGGTTTGCGACGGAGCAATCATCCCGGGTGAACACGCGTAAGCGCGACTCGATTCGCACAAGCCTGCACGTGCTCGCACGCGGTGATCGCAATCGGCACAGACCCGCCCTTAGGAATCTCGTAGCTCTGCGATGACATAATGACACGCTCAGAGAGCTCAGAGTCGTTGTTGTACGATCGAGACTACTTCACCCCTTGGATAGACGAAATCCTCCGACAGAGATACCCTTGCCTGACCGAGAACCGACTGTGTCCTAGGGAATCTCACTGCGCCACCACTAACGACCCCCGGTGCTCTGGTTTCCCCACTCAGAACCACACCCACTACTTCACCCACCCCGACTTTGTCGTTATATCCACCAGCTTCCCTCCCTTCCGCCTTCTTCTCCTGTATCACCAACTCAGCGTCGTCCCGTGGAAGGCCATAGCCGCCTACTCGCCTAGTACACCCCTTGGAAATTGCCAACGTAACTGCGATCAGAGGACCTGGAATTCCGGACGCTCGACGACCGGCGCCACATGGCAACTTCCGACGGCCTCACTTATCGAAACCCCACCCACCCCGAAGGGACCTTCCCGCTAACCGCCGTCCTCGGAAGCAATGGCTCGCCCGACCTTGAGTGACCCACGCATGACATCTGCCTTATGACCAGAGGCGGTCCGCCCTCTCTGTCAAATTGCACTCGTGCCCCCGAAAAACTTTGCCACATGAGATCTCAATTCTGACTCAGGACTCCATCCCCACTTTCCCAAAAATTCTTGGCGCACCGCTTTTCGCACTTCCGGGCCCACATCCTACTCTGATCAGGAAGTCGCGCTCGGCGTGAGGTTGGTATCGGAGCCCGACACGTGGCCGAGTTTTAGGATTAATAGCACGCTAATTGGGCGATATGGCTAACCGAGGGCGACCTCGACCCCGGAACGTGCATAGACGCGACCCCGTCATCACCCGAAGTAGATCGGCTAATCGACGGGCAGCCAACATGAACGCAAATGCACAAAATTCGAATCCGCAGCAGAATGTTAATCAACCAAATCCTAATCAACCCGCCCCACGAGCACGGGCTCCCATGACGCCACCTGATCTTTATCTGTTCGACCCTGCACATCATCTTGCAGGAGCATGGTTGGCCACGCTCCGAGCACAGCAGTATGACGATAACGAAGCTCAGGTAAATATTCCTGCTCGATTAGGAGAAGACACTCATCGCTGGTTTAGTACCTATGTATGGGTAGATCTTCTGACCTTCGAACGGGATTTTCTGAATCGATTTGATTATGTTCATCCAAAGCAAGGACTGTACATGATCAAGGAGCGGGTGCAAAAACCTCTCGAATCTATCGCAGAATATCGAAACCGGTTTTATCAAATGTTTGTAAAAACTGAGCGAGGCGAGCAAGTCGGGAGAGATTTGTTTATTGATGGGCTTCGTAGCCGAACGATAAGGGCGAAGCTGCTGAAGCAGTTTTCCCCCATCAATCACACGCTGCAACAGATCATGGCCGTTGTAGAAGAGATGGAACGAAAGTTCGCGGCGAACTTCCTGGAAGTAGAAGACCATCCCAAGGAAGGAGATTCGTCCGAGCTCGCAAGGGCAAGAGCTGAGTTGGCCGCGTTGCAGAACAAGTTCGTTAATATGAGATTTGTGTCTGGCCCGGTCACCTATCTGGAACAGATAGCCCCTAAACGACCCGCCCCAAGTGTAATCACGAGTGTCCCCGTTCCCGTGATACCAGCACCTGTAATGAGGGCACCCCCGCCACCGATTGAGAACCCGGTAAGGACAAATGAGTCTACTGCTATTTTTGAGCTAACCAAAACATTAATTAGCCTAATCCAGGAAAGCAATAAGGAACAGCGAGAGCATAACGCTCGGTTAGAAGCCATGATGAGAAACATGCGGCCCATTGAGGTGCGTGCCCCTCCAATCCAACAAGGGCTAGCCCTGGCGCCAACTCTCGGAGGAGCCGCATACAATCTAAACGTCTGCTATGCATACCATCAACCAGGGTATCTAGGCCGTGATTGCCCCCACCAGCCCCCGCAACAACGGGTCGATGTTGCACCGATGGCAGCGGCTCCCTTCACTAACGGACCTGGACGAGTAGGGGCCCTGATGGAAGAAATGGAAGGGGTAGGAAGTGCGTTAGCAACCACGGAAGAGGCTGCTGAGCTCATCCCGTTAAATCAATACGTATCGCTTGGTTACCCTGGGCTTGGAATGACTGGAATGATTAGGTCGGCGCCGGAAGAGAAAGAAGTGGCGGAGTGGCGACCTTCTCCAGGAGAAATGGAGTCGGGAGGACTCACCTTTGTCACTGGGGAAATCGATGTGCTCAATATTATCCGAGCCTTGGATCATCGGATTCCACTTCCGATCGACCATCTGCTCTCGATCTCTGAACAAGCTAATGAGCGAATGCTACAGCACTGTAAGGCGAACTGGAAACGATTTGCCCTCGCTCGAATAACAAACATGAAGGCTAAAAGCCCCACGCCAGAAGAAATTACGGCTGGCACGCCGGATCCAATATGAGTAGGACTAATACAGAAAGACGATCATTTTCTACAGATTAAACCCATCCCCTGGAAATCTGCGGAATGCGACATCGAAATATGGGGAATTCCGTAAATGCAATCATTGATTTGGGAGCTGCTGTTTTGGCTATTTCGCTGCGAGTAGTTGAGAGGGCGGGAAGGAAAAACGATTTGATCATGCTTACAGAAAAGGATCAACTTGTTTCGTAATACGAAAAAAAGATTAAAACGGTGGAAAAAATGACCAATGTCGCTTTCCGATTGGGAAAGGTGCATGCACTGGGAGATGTCGTGGTATTAGACGTAAACACAGTCAATCATCCTCCCGCTCATGTGACTGACTCTTCTTTTCGGTCTTCCCGCTCATGTGGCATTACGAGCAAATTTGGATTTCGAGCGACGGTCAATCATCCTCCGAAATACGAAAGGAAAACCCTATGTTGTACCTATGAGACTGACTCTTCGTACTACCATCAACGCAGTCCCGCGAGTTTCGCCGATGATAGTGGGGACTCTTCGTATGATCACCTGGGAAGACTCCGCAGACGATGAGCCATCATCGAGGGATGCGGATCGCAATGACGAAAATGGTCCAGAAATTCTGAAGCTAGCACGACATCGTATTTATTACCCGCCACCCAGAACGATTGCAAGAACGATGCATCTTACCAGTCGGAACATCCAAAGGACGAAAGCGATGATTTTGGGTGAACGCCTCGTACAGATTTCGAGGATGGTCGATTCTTTGGAACCCCCTCAAACCCTGTACGAAGGAATTTCACCTCTCCTCGCTCGATACAACGACAAGAAGCACTACTGCGATATCACAGATCTGCCGAAGTCCCTCTTGACACCCGCAAAGGAAGTACGACTGTTACGTCTAGGGGCGGAGGCCTGTTCTTTGGAACCCCCTGGGCGTCTCGAGGTTGAATCAGATCAGCTCGGAGTAAAGATTGCAACTAAAACCGTACCATGGTAGGATATCTGCGATGGGATCACCCCGGAAGGACACGTGGCCATCTGGGAGGAAGATGCCCTGATGATGGCGACGGTGTTCTCCTGGCGATCGGACCATTCGTTTATCTCGGCGCAACCGCCCGATGTGGTGAAACAAGCACGCATAAAGCAGATCGACGTACGAATCTGGGACAAACTTTTTGAGTTACACGTGCCATAGTACGTACCTGATGAGTTTCATCGTTTGGTTGCGGACATTTTGACGGAGTATCAGGGAGCGATTAGTGTAACAGACACTGACATCGGCTTGTCGTTGGTCATCCAACACGAAATTCAGACGGGAACTTGTTCCCCCATCCACTGCAAGCCCTACCAATACTCCCTGATAGAATGAAAAAAGGTTCTCGAACGAATTCGGGAACTCGAAGCAAGTGGGTGGATCGAACCCGCCACTAGACCATGGCCGTTTCCAGTAGTATTTGTGCCAAAGAAAAACAGATCAATCCACATATGCATCGATTATCGCAAACTAAATGAAATCACGATTAAAGATGTGTATCTCCTCCCCCGGATTGATGATTTGCTGGATGCGATTGGATGCGCTAATTATTTTAGTAAGTTTGATATTCGACATGGCTTCCTTCACATTTTGGTTAAGGAGGAAGATCGGCCGAAGACAACCTTCGTGTTGTTTGAGGGCACGTGGCAGTGGGTTCGGTGTCCAATGGGGATCTGTAATGCGCCTGCCACGTTTCAGCGAGCGACGAACATGACGTTCCAGAACTTCGTCAACAAGACACGGCTAACTCAGGGAATGATCAACTTCTGCGTGATCGTATACATGGACGATATCCTTGTCTACTCGGAGACCTATCACGGACATGCCCAACACATTGAATTGACGTTGGGAGCGATGAGAGATGCAAGATTCAAGATCGCACTCGAGAAGAGCGGATTATTCCTGTCAGAAATTTCGTTCCTGGGTTACGTTGTGACGCGTGGAGGATTGTGGCCTGACTCGAGGAAGGTTGCGGCAGTGAGAGAAGCTCCAGTTCCCACGTCGCTGACGCAGGTTCGAGCCTTCTTGGGGTTGGCATCGTACTATCGCCGTTTCATCAAAGGCTTCGCCGCGATTGCACGGCCACTAACGAACCAGTTACGAAAGGACCAGCCTCTCAGTTGGGATGCGGAGTGTGAGCAGGCTCTCGCGACCCTCAAAGACGCTCTGGCGACGACACCTATTTTGATTCGACCGGACCCCTCGAAACAGTTCGTTCTTATCACGGACTGACAACCGGAAGCTATTTCCGCTATTTTAGCGCAGAAGAGGAACGATGGTCGCGAACACGTCATCGAGTACGCGTCACGAACGGTGCCAGACGAACGGAGGAATGACTCAGCACCCCAAGGCGAATGCTATGCAGTGGTCTGGGGAATCCAACACTTCCATCCGTATCTCTACGGGCAGAAGTTCCACCTCGTGACGGATCATTAGCCCCTGCTGGCCTTGAAAAAGCTCACTAATTACTCGGGCATGATTGGGCATTGGGCGGTACGTCTACAGGAGTACGATTTCGACATCATCCACCGGAAGACAGAAAGACACGGCAACGCGGACGGAATGGCACGTCTGCACCGGCCCGCGAAAATACCAAAGGGCGAGGATTCCGAGGAAATCATTCCGTGGAAGGAGTCAGAACCAGCAAACGGGCCTAAGTACGGACAAGTGGCAGTTCTCCCGCATGGCAAGAAGCAGACCGGTGGCAATGGGTGACTGAGGTAACCTCACTACCCCTCTTTCTTCCATCTCCTCTTCATCTCATCTCTCCCTGCCTGATAAAGTTTGCTATTTTTGCGAAGCAATTTCTCTTGTATATTCAGTCCCCATGCATCTTAACGGGGAAGGCTATATGGAATGAGTAGATTGTCGACAGTGTGTCGCACGAGCCCATGGCTCGTGCATCCAATATCGAAATGATAGTAAACTGTGACTATGCCCCTTGTGTCGGGTTGACAAGATCCCGACCGAGGCTCGCTTTTTGGATGCCACATTAGAAGGATTGGAGAAGACCCGGAAGTTTAGAAGGGCCGAAGTATGGACCGACATCTTTTTGATTGCCACCTTAGTGGGTAACCCCCTCCAGGATTTCACCAAGGAAGATCGGAGGAGGGCTAATGAAAGGGCTCGGGATTACCGATGGATAGAGGGTAGGTTAGAAAAACGGAAAACAGACGGCAATGGGATTTGGATGATTGTACCGCATCTGTTCATGAGGTACGAATGGGTGAAGATAGCACACGAAGAAACGGCTGCCCATTTTGCCGTACGGATTACGGAGTCGTTCATCAACAAAAACGAATGGTATTGGCCCAATATTCGGGACGATGTGAAATTCATCGTCGCAAACTGTCAAGTCTGCATTGCTGACAAGGCGCCGATCCAGCCGCCAAGATCGATAGGACCAACGGTAGTTGAGCGGCCGTTCAAAAGGGTGACTATGGATACTACCGATATCGTGGTACCCCCTGGTCCTAATAGTTGTGAATATTCATTCTTGTTGGTATTTGTCGACCACTTTTCGAAATGGATCGAGGCCTACCCATGTCGCACGCGACAAGCCGCCGAAATCGCGCGGTATGTTAATCGTTTTCTCGGGATGCACCAGGATATGGAAGAAATCTTGACCGATAACAGGGCCGAATTTAGAGGGGAAGTATTAAGGAACTTGGTCATACATGGTGTCGCTGTGCGGAATACCGCGCCCCATATGTCACAATCCAATGAACTAGTAGAAAACGCAAATAGGGTGATAAAGACAGCGTTGCGACGAAACATTGTGGCACAGGATCCGAGGCCCTGGCCCGATATCGTCGACCACGTCCTAGCGGTCCATCATGGAACGCCCCGTGAATCGACGGGCCTGAGCCCCTTCCGATTAAGGACCAATTGCGCCGCTTGCGTTTCGATACCAAGCCTGCCTGACGAATCAATGCTCGACCGCCGGCCCACAAGGGCCACGGCACGGGACAAGGGCAAGTGACACTTAGAGTTAATGGAAGAGTCCCTCCCGAGGCTAGCGCGAAAATGCCAAAAAATGACCGAGTTGGCCCACGGCCGACAGGTCCGAAGCTACGAGGCCCGGAACGGGAACGCAGGTCCACGACCCCAGTACAAATTGGGGGACATTGTGCAAGTGAGGAAATGTGCTTGCCAGGGTAAACTAGCGCCACGATTCTTCGGGCGATTCCGTGTGATTGAGCTCGGACCGAACGACGTGAACAACGTGCGGCTTGTGCCTGAGGTCTCCGGAAGCCGATCGGCTCGTCCGATCATCCGCCACGTGTCCTGCCTTCGCCCCCTTCCTTCTTCCCCATCTTCGCCTTCGTTGAATTCCTCCTCCACTGCGGAAGAGGACGACGACTGCTTATCGCCTGTCTCTCCATCTCCTTCTCATTCTCTTTCTGTTACTCAGTTGTCGTCGCCATCGCCATGAGTTTTCTTACGGAGCGAGCTCTCGGCGATCCTCTGCTGGTGCCACGGTGCTACATCTTAGCGATTCGACAAGTTCATCACCCGCGGCTCAACCTAGACCTTCGGCGACTTGCGCAGTTCTTCTGTACCCAGGGAGTGTATGCAGCCACAGAGTTTCGCTTTGCAGGCAGTCCCCGTGCGGTTGTTTTAGCAGAGGCGGTAGCAGTTCATCGGCGATCAATTCCGGGAATCAGCCACGTGTCTACGGTGGTCGCCTTCAGTGGCGACATCAGCACCATCAGCCCGCTGCGGCATACGGCTATCAGGACAACGCTTCGGCTGTGGGCGCAACAGTTGGCATCAGAGTGGAATCGCTGGCTTATGCCCCACAATGATAATCTTTTACCCACGGACGGCTTCGACCTCGACGGGATCCGAGCTTTCCAGCACGAACCGGCGGTGGTGCTCCCTGAACTCATCCCCTTCCCCCGTCCTCAATGAGCCCATCCCCAATCTCCACTTTCGACCTCCCCTCCTTCTTTCCCACCTTCTGGCAGTCCGGAGTCCAACCGCACCTCTCCTTTTGTCTAGAATCACTCGCTGTCCCCCTCCTCGATCCCCAGAAGTGGAGGCGTTAGCGAGAAAACTTCGTCGAGCTGTCGGTGTGTCTGGTCGGAGTAAAGGTCACGTGGACACGGCACGGGGATCACCGCCAGTGGGCCGAGTACCTTGAGCTGCTCATCATCCAGGCGTGGCGAACAAGAGTGGAGGGCGATCTGGTCGGATTCCTCTTCGACGAGTCTTCGGATCAGTGCGGCCCGATCATCGCCAATTGATCGTGCACGAGTTAACGGTCGCCCTTGCGCAGCTGGCCGACGATCTCCCACTTGAGATCGTCTCGCAGAGCGACGACAACCCAGTCCCGCACGTTCTCACACGGACCTTGGCGCCATATCTTCAGTGGTCGGTGTGCTTAGAGGAACCGGGAAGCGGCCGCAACCCACCGTCACGGCGCGGTTATCTGGACCCGTACGAGATAGTGGACCTCGCCTTCTTTCAAGATCGGACGGCTTCTGAGAACGAGGAGGTAGAGATTGAAGCGGAAGAAGAAGGCTCGAAAGAAGAAGAAGAAGCCGAAGGAGAGGCCGACGAGGAAGAAACTCCCGAAGAGGGGAGTTACAGTGAGCACAGCGAAGGGGAGCAAAGTGAGGAGGAGGGGAAGGAAGAACAAGGCAACGAAGAAGAAGAAGATCAGGACGAGCTGGAAGAGTCAGAGTGGGAAGGATTCGAGGAGGAAGTGCGTGACGAGGCAAGGGCGAGGGCCCGGGCGCAGAAGAAGAAAGAGATTGCGGCCAGGAAGCGATAGTTGGAATTCACCAGCGCAGCCGGTCAGCCGGGCACCGACAATCCGGCCCGAGATCCGGAGCCACCTAAGCCCGAGGATGGAGAGACAGCTGCCGAGACTTCGGCCGCACCGGCAAGGCGACGACGAAGCCGATCCCCCTCCCCCTCCGCCACAGACCGCCCATCAACTTGTCCACGTACCGATGCGAGGCATCGGGCTTCGTCCCCAGTCGTTATCCCGGCGTCCCCTTGACCACCTCTCTTTCCGCCAAATTACCACTCACGTCACCTTCCCCGACAATCCCTTCCCCATCGACACCTTCCGCTTTTTCTGCACTACCCGCCTCGCTGTCACTGTTCATCCCCACCCTTCCACCCGATGCGCCCTCCCTGTCTTCTGCCTCCATATCCTTTTCCTTAGTGCCGCGTGGCGAGGCCACAATATGATCGAGGTATACTGCATGATTACGGGGACTATCCCCGCATGCGAGAACCACAATCACTTCCGCGCGGCCCTTTTCCGAACCTTCACCACCCTCTACCTCGATTACCTCGCGTCCCTCCCTCACACTGGCAACCGATTCCCCTGCTTTCACCGGATCGTTCGCTATCAGGAACTCATGGAGACGGTGGCCGGAATGGAGAGCTTCCTTCCCCCACTACCTATCGACCCTCCCCCTCGCCATCCCTCCATGTACCGTCTCCCTTTTCCCCTCCCTGGCGCTCGCTGATGTAGGACTGATAGGCAGGCATCGTGACAACGACACGTGTTATCCCCTCCTTGGATTGTCAATAACCCTCCCTGAGGAATAAGTAGTAGAGCTGTGTTGCCACGTTGGACAACGTCCACACTCATTCGAACGGTAAGTGGCATAGAGAGAAGAGCTCCGCGTGTCAGTCGATTAGAGAAATCGACACGTGTCAACAAGCAAGCAGGAGCTTGCTAATATTGGAACCCCCTAGGCGTCACATATGTGACGAACCACTTTCTGTAGCGCGCGACTTTCTGCGCGATTGCAATGAGGGGTCCTAAGCTAGGAAGGTTGGGCCAATTACGAGAGTTCGGGATCGGTGGGAAATTGCATCAGTACCCTCGCTTCTTCGTCTTTTTCGTCGTCTCCTTTTTCGATGGTGGGTTTCGGAACTGGACATGTTCCGGGACGGATGATTGATTGGTCAGTTGAATTGTTGGCGTGCTGTCATGCGCGCAATTAATAATTGTTGACGTCGTTTCTTTTGTTCGGTTTTGGAATTTCGGCACGGACATCGCGCGGGAATTTGCTTCGTTGCTTTTGAATTTCTTTTTGAATCCTTTTTCGAAGTTTGTCGAGCCCCGATGACTCTCAGAATTTCAAACTTTCTTTTCGGAACTTGTGTTTTTTGCTTTTTCGCATTAGATAGGAGTTTAGGAATTTTGTAATTAGGGCGTTCTTTTGCCGCGCGGCGCCTTTTGCTTACGAGCTTCTTTATTTGGCTGCAATGGAATTCTGATTGGTCGGCGCCTTTAATCGGGTGTGTAACTGTAATTTTGGGCTGGCGCAATTGTAAATGTATCTTTCTTCTTGTGCTTCGTATTTCCTGCCCTTCTTCACTTTCTTTTGCTGCGTTTTTGGTAGCCACGGTCTGCATGATCGGATCGATGTGTGGAGAGTGGCTACGTCCCCCGCGCCGCGGCCCGGTCATGCAGAACCCAGGCGCTCCCCCTCTAATCCTTTTTCTAAATCCTTGAAATTCCGTGTTCTTCTCGCATGCATGCACGCTAGAAATTCCGGCTGCGCGATTAGTTAGCTCTCTTAACCAGTTGTTGGAAGCTCGGGGTTGCGCGATCAGAGAGGGTCGGCACACGAGTGAAGTAAGAGGTGACTAGAGCAGGAGTCGGGCGACCCGACGAGCTGGTGCCAAACGCGCGAGGTTGACGCGGGCCACGACGGACTGTGGGCGCGGGCGAACCTGACGGGTGTCGGAGGACTAAGCGGGGTGACGACTTCGTGAGTTGGTGCGTGACGACGGAGTGTCCGCATCAGAGAAGGAGAGAGAGGAAGAGGGAGTTGAGGTTGATGGACGCGGATTTGTTGTTTCTTTTATCTTTTCTCCCTCCTGTCTCGTGTATATAAATTTTGATTTCGGTTCCGGGTGATTTGCCCGTTTTTTGTTTTTCGGAATCTGGACTTGGGTTTTTGCTCACCCTTGTCTTTGTGATTTCCGTCTCAGATGCATTGTGTGTTGCTGAATGAATGAATGTATGGATGTCATGTTTGGTTATTTGATTTCCTATCGGATCCTTGCCTTTGCCTTTGTTTACTGCATTTGATGCACTCGTGAGTAGGATAGGAATTTTGTGCAATCGGTAATCTTGTTCTCGTTTTTACTCGTCTTTTGAATAAGCTGCTGTGGGTGTTGCATCTTGCATGCTCGAAAATTACGGAGTGATTAGACAATCGGATGTCTGGCCCAGCGAACGCCGCGCGAGGATGCGTGTAAATGTGACTTGATTTGCGCCTTTACACATGCTCCTGTCTGTCGATCCGTCAGTTCCAAAAAGAACCATCGGTTGCAGAAATACTGTCTGATTGGATACGGCCATCCGGGGTCTGCGACGGAGCAATCATCCCAGGCAAACACGCGTAAGCGCGACTCGATTCGCACAAGCCTGCACGTGCTCGCACGAGGTGATCGCAATCGGCATAGACCCGCCGTTAGGCATTTCATAGCTCTTCGATGATATAATGACACGCTCAGAGAGCTCGGAGTCATTGTTGTACGACCCGGACTACTTCACCCCTTGGATAGACGAAATCCTCCGACAGAGATACCCTTGCCTGACCGAGAACCGACTGTGTGCTAGGGAGTTTTACTGCGCCACCACTAGCGACCCCCGGTGCTCAAATTTCCCCACTCAGGACCATACCCACTACTTCACCCACCCAGGCTTTGTCGTTATCTCCACCAACTTCCCTCCCTTCTGTCTTCTTCTCCCGTATCACCAACTCAGCGTCGTCTCGTGGAAGGCCATAGCCCCTACTGGCCCAGTACACCCTGCGGAAATTGCCGACGACGCGGTGGTCAGAGGACCCTGGAATTCCGGAGGCCTAACCCAAACGCGCGACGACCGGCGCCACGTGGCAACTTCCGACGGCCTGACGCATCGGAACCCCACCCACCCCGAAGGGACCTTCCCGCAAACCGCCGTCCTCGGAACCAATGGCTCGCCTGACCTTGAGTGACCCGCGCATGCCATCTGCCTTATGACCAGAGGCGGTCCACCCTCTCCGCCAAATTGCACTCGTGCCCCCGAAAAACTCTGCCATAGGAGATCTCAGTTATGACTTGGGTCTCCACCCCCACTTTTCCAAAAATCCTTGGCGCACCCCTTTTCGCACTTCCAGGCCCATATCCTACTACGATCAGAAAGTCGTGCTGGGTGTGAGGTTGGGCGTCACAGTCCCAGGAAGTGGAAAACGCAACAAAAAAAACACTTTCCAGGAACCCGATTTCTTCCAGTGCAGTCTGGGAAAAACACTCGGGTCGCCCGTTTTCCAAGATTTTGGCCTGTGGGGTCCAGCCTTTAGACCTAGTTACTTACCATGCCATCGAAGGCAGTGTAGAGAACAACCTCTACAGAAGACATTGGTACTCATTATTCAGAAACCATTGCTTTACTGAACTGAAGTCAAGCACAAGGATCCCCAGTAGTTACCGAGGCTCGTTCTCGGGAAAGAAGTAGCATTGCTTAGGACCTAGTTGTGTGTTGCTGTTCTCCGCCAAGATAGGCAAAAACGTGGAGTTTCATGATTGTTAGTATTGCCGTAAGTTATAATGGGATGATTCCCCAGAGCCAGTAAGGCGAGTGAGGGAAGGGACGCTTGGAACACAGTAAGTTATAATGACATCGATGTCAAGGGGAGATGCACACCGCACATTTCCAGGACCGACACGGCAAGGAGATTTGTCAAGGATGAGAGAATCAGTGAGCAAATGCTATGATGAAGGGGTTTGCCCACAGGGCATCCAATTAGGAGTAGTAGAGGATGAGGAAGGTAAGAGATTCATAGTAAATGAGGTGGGAGAGGAAGTGAAGGAGCAGTGGTTGAAAAAAAGGTCGGTAATTGTAGTGTTTCAAGAAGATGATCGATCGCTTACACGATCCGCCAAAGAAGACTCTGATCAGGGCCCATGAAGATGGTTGGACGACAAAGAGACTATTCCATCCCGAAGCAAGGCAAGGAAGAGTCAAATTCGAAGGCCCAAATGTGGCTTCGTGCGTGGCTAAAGCCAAAGCGATTGCAGAGTGGTTGCTGCAGCAGAAGGAAATCACGATCAGGTTAGAGGAGAGTAAAAATTACACAGTTCACTTCAGACCATGACTGTCGAAATAGGAGCTTCAGGAGGTTAGAATCCGGGAAGCAGAATCCAAATTCTGGATCATGGCTTTGAGGGTCCCCCTGGAAGCCTACTATTATTTGGGCAGTGTGGTAGAAGCCATCTTCAGAGAGTACATGTCGATGCTTTCACCTGAATATGACAGTGACAGGCCAAAATTGATGACCGTCAAGTTTGAAATGCCATATGAATCGAGGACCAAGACAGAGGATGACCTGGTTATTCAATCGCCTAAGGGGGAATGTTGGAAAGTAGAGATAGTAACACTGTACACCGACTGGTGTCACAGATGTAGGTGGTACTTTCACACTGAAGACAATTGCCCAAGATTCAAGTCGAAGGTGGATGGCCGCAGAGGAGATGGGAAAAGACCAAGCGGTCACAAACTGAGATTCAGACAACACTTGTAGGGTCAGGAAGAGGTGACGCAAGAGTGCGCCGCTGTGAGCGGAAGTTCTCAGAGAACCTGGAGCGGCACAACAACACCCTATTGGACCAGTTCAGGGACATTACCTCACTGGGACTCGGCCAACTGGCCATCTCCCGCAGAACGAGTTTGGAGCGGCCTTCCCGAACCGAGTCCAGCAGCCCCTGCCATGCGAGGCAGGCAGAGATTCAGGTGCCAACAGTCGGTTGGCTGGAGCATCAGATAGACCATGGACGGGGACACAAGGTACGGGACAGAACACTGCCCGCTGGCATGGCGGGGGTCATCAA